ACATGAGGTGGTGTGAGCTGCAGCAGGAGCTCTTGTAGATGGCCCTGGCCTGCTGATGGGCTGGCAGAGGAAGAGGAGCAGAGCCTTCGGAGAACGTAATTCAGTTGCTGGCGCAATTGTGGTGGATGAGTTGTAACCAATAGAAGTTGTTTTGTGCGTATACTCCCTCAGCACACTGTAATGTGGACAACAGTTCTGTGAGGAGAGATCGGCATCTGGACAGTTAAACCGGGGGTTGCTGTCTGATTCTAAAAGGAAATGGGAGGTTTGGTAAAATTGGATATACCCTGTGTCATTTTTTCCCAGCAGGTCTCTGATTCTTATTCTAAGGCTGATATCTGACCTCTGCTCACACGCGCTCATATATCCCTTGTCAATTTTTTCTATTTATGTGGTCTTATCTTAATAAATGAGCCTGATGTGGCCTCCTCGTTAAAAAAATGTCCAGAGCTGCTTTTGCCCGAGAGGGGAAGCTGAGCTAATCCATACCGTTGTGTGAGAGGCTAGGCTGGTTGGAGAAAGTGGCGTAGCTTTCAGTGGCGTGTTTTTGAAGTGCCATTTATCAGTCTAATGTCATTCCCGCTTTGTTCCAAGCAAGAATCACATGTCCTTTTTTGAAGGGATGCATTTGTTTCTCCTTCCAGGTTTTTCAGATGGCTCTCAAGTTCCAGAAAGGCCGCCAAAGCCGCTACCACGGAGAATAAATTCTGAGCGGAAAGCAGGGAGCTGCCAAACAGGCGGAGCCAGCAGTGGGACCAGTGCGTCGCTGCAACTCTCCAGCGAGATCGAGAATCTAATGAGCCAAGGCTACTCATATCAGGACATTCAGAAAGCACTGGTCATTGCACATAACAATATTGAAATGGCCAAGAATATTCTCCGGGAGTTTGTTTCCATTTCCTCCCCTGCGCACGTGGCCACATAGCACATTACCTCCACGCCCACGACTTCTGTGGACCAACTGCCTGGGCAGCCGTAGCCCCGCCACGCACCAAAGGGGAAGGGGGTTCCTTTAGAGACTTCGTGCTGAGGTCAGTCCTGCCTCTTAAGAGATCAGTTATCAGGTTTTTGTGGTTCCAGATTTCAAAGCAGTGGAATGAAATGGAGCAGAGTGGTGTTTTATACAGTGTATGTCTTGGAGTCCTTTACCCCTACCTCTTGTTTGAGAGAACAGATTTATTTCCAGGGTGTTGGTAGAGAAAAGTATCGCAACAAGGGATCCCCAAGCTGATGCCCTGGAGGCTGGGGGGAGTGTTTTGTGCTGTGAATTCTAAGTGAATGCTCTGAGAAACAAAGTCCCGAGGTCGGTGTGGTGTGTCCTGTGGTTCATGGTACTAGGTTTGGATCTGTTCGCTGCTGTGTGTCTGGCTCAGGCTTTTTAGAGCAGCTGGGAGGTCACTTTCTGCTGGGAATAAATAGGAGACCTTGGAAGAATCTTGCGATTGCTTCCTGTTTGCCATGGCGTTTCCCTCTTGCCTGTAATAATAGCATTTATTGCTTACGATTCAAGTCCTCCCTTTTTGCTTGGAGATAGCATGACTAGCTTCTGTCAGGCATTTTGATCTTGACAGTGCTGAGAGTTGGATTTCTCTCGTATGTGTTGCATTGCGGGCAGCACTGGCAGCACCAGATTCCGGGCAGCTAGATGTGCTGAACAGTTTTGCGTGTTTTTGAGGGGTGGGAGAGGGCGGGAAGAATTTGAGTGAGAGCAAAGAACTGGCTGCTGCTTCTCTTTTTTTAGCCTTGAGCATTTTCTTCAGTGCTCAAACTTGACTGTGGCCCTGCTGGGCTTAAGCAGCCGTCACTGGACGCTCCCATGCGCTCTTTCTCTAGGAATGTTGCGCCTGGTAAATATGATGTTTTATTTATCTTAATTGCATGGTGGCTGTCGCAGACTGGTGGCCTTCACACACATTCCATCCTCTTCAGAGAGCTTTTGCGGGAGCCAGCTGTCTTTGTGCCAGGTTGTTTTGTGGAATTGGTAGATGCAGCCGATGTATTCATTGGTATCTTACCTGCTTTGCAGTAAAAGAAATGCAGCAGTTCTCTGCATGGCTATCAAAACAACATGGGGGCTCTTCTTTCCATTTCCATTACTCTAAGGTATTGCCAGAGCTTTTGTTAAAACAGGTCTGGGAAACTTCTGTATTTGTAAAACAATCACACAGCTTTAAAAGTCAGTACTCAGCAGTTACTTTGAAAAAACCTGACTTGCACACTCAGCTACTTAACTCTGTTCATATATGCTTGATGTGCGAGAAGCGCATGGTTCCTTTTGAGAGGATTTAAATGAAGCAGGGATACACAGATCACACAGCCTGAACAAGTGCTCTGTGTACACTGGGAGGCTGTCAGCCTTTTGAAGCATGTCTGGCATTACTTGCATCTCTCTAAGGGCAGCAGTAGTCACTAGGCAAAGGGTTGCAACTTGAAATATTGTTGGAGTGATTATGGCAGTTGGATGGAGTTTAGCCTTTTAAAGAGGCCGGTAGCTGGGCCCAGATTGCAGAGAAGTGGCTTGCAATTGGCGGCAAGGACTTAACAAGTATTAGCAAAGGGAGCTAAGCATAAAATGTTTGTTTTATGTCGATTTAGGTTTCTCTCTAGATCTACAGCTTTATAAATTGGTGCAGGGGGTTCCAGGCAGTTTAAAAGCACGGACGGTCTCTCTTTACTCCCCTCCTTCCTGCAGTAACGAGAACGTTCTCTGAAGCCGTAAGGAGATCTCCCGCAACACTTGCGGGCCATCACCACCGTTGGTATTTTGGGGCCAGGGCTGAAACTTGCCAGTGCATCACAGTGATGAGATTCACGTCGGTGGGCATGGTGCTCCGCAGCGGGGCAGAGCGGGGCCAGGCGCAGCCAGGAGCAGGGCCTGCCCTTGGCAAAGGTGCCAGGTTACAGAGAAGGTGGTGTCAGCGCATGTTGCACTCGGGGAAGGAGAGCTGTTCTTTTCCCTCTGCCCACTCGCGCAACAGTCAGCGGCATCGTGACAGACAGGAACATGGGGCGGCTCTGGTTGCTCTCTCAGTAGGTCCGCGTGGTACACTTGTGAGCCCGAGCAGCCAGCCCTGGCGTATGAGAGTTATATCCTGGCTTTGTCCTGGAGAACCAGGTAAAAACCCTTTTGTGAGGAGCACTACGGTTTTATGTCCCTCTTTTTTGTATTCTCGCCAGTGCTGCCACCAGCTCCGCGCTGGGTTTGGAGCCACTTCATTTCTGACTTGCTGTGTAAACCCAGTGCAATTGTGTTCAAGTGTGGCGTGACTTGCTGCTGCCCAGGGTGTGTAAGAGCCAAGTCCAGCCAGCTAGAAGCCTTAACTCTTGTCTTGCACAGTGTGTGTGATCAGAGTAGTGATGCCCTGTCCCATACAAGCCCTTTATTACAGGCTTGTTGTAATGCCAAATTAAATCATGCCTAGCAGAGCTATTACAAGCCTGTCTTTGGGGTTTATGTCCCAAGAGACGTTCCTATGGGTATTGTTCCAGGTATTAGAGATTAGGGAGAGCAATCTTTGTGGCATGTATCACTAATTTTTCTGCATGTGTCCTTTCTGTGCACTGTTTGTGTCTCAAACTGATTTAAGAAACTTAAGTCTTGGCTTTTCTTCCTTAGACATGTAAGCATTTGCTAGTACCACTGAAGTGCAGCAGAGTCCTGACCATGTCTTATGGCTGTGCTCTGCGAAGTCAATCCAGGCACTGTACAGTGTATTTTTCTTGTTCTTTCAGAAAGGTAAGCCTAAGATTGATTTACCTTTTTTTCCCTTTACCTCCTTGATCTTTATTCTTAAGAAGTTAACTTTCTGATGCTACTTTAAAAAGAAAAAAAAATCCCAAATGTCTAGTGCCTTTCTTAAGGGAATGCTGCATCGCTAGGCTGGATCTGAGTGTCCACCCCTCTGTGAAAATGAAGAGCCCGAACTAGACAAGCTGTAAAGATGCCTTTGAGCGTGAGACTGCTTTGAAAGGGGTGAAAAGAAGGGGCAAGAAAGATGGGCAATTGTCACTTCAACTACGACACTGTGTTTTGTAGCATTTCAACTGTGGAGGTTTCCTACTTTTCTGTTACTACCGGTGACTTGTCTGGACTGGTGTTGTGCTAAGCTTGGTGTGAAGACAGTAGAATCGTAGGACAGGATTGGTTTGGCTTGTAACAAAATACGAGTTCTGCTCATAAAAAATGCTGGGTTTCCCCCTACCTGTCAACCTGGCACAAAGCAAGCAGAAGACGCTTTGTGAGACCTGGGGCACAAAGTGCATGGGACCAGCGTGAGTCTCTGCACAGCGAGCAGCAGGGAGCTGTGGAAAGCAGGCGAGCATCGGCTGCTCTGAACGGGCGTTCTGGCTGACTTGGTGCCGTCAGCGCTGCCGCAGCTGAACGGGAATCTGCAGTGAGACGTATCCTGCCGGGGCTGGGGTAGATCTCATCTGCCGCACTGCCCTTGTGTGTCTGTCTCTGCATGCGCTGCCGCTTGAGGTGTGGAGTGTCTCTGCTGGCAACCAGCGGACTTGCTTTCACTATAAACAGCTTTTCTGCATGCCCTTCACTGAGCCCTTATCTTGGGGGAGCGAGAGAGGCTCGGAGTACAGCATGTTGCATCCTGCACTAGACTCATTACATTACTGTAGCTAATCCTGAGGCGGGGTCATTACTGTAAATGTTTTTTTCAGTTGAGCAAGAAAAAATGCAACTCCCAGGGCACTTTCTTAAAGGTGCCACTTTAAAAATTAGTGGGGAATAAGGACACTTATTTTTAAAGTTCCTAATAGAAGTCTGTTTTGAAATTTCTGGTGGGGGAGGAACAGTTGTCCTTCCTCTTGAATGACAAATACCAATTTGTATAATATCAGTGTTAAAAATGTTGAGATTTTCACAAAATATTTTAAAAAAGTATAATAGTGTCATTAATATAAAAATATAATAGCAGTATTTAATCCTTTCAGATCTGTAAAGAATAAGGAAAAACAGAAGGTAAATATTCTTACAGAGAGTAGCTGAGCTTTAAGGTTCACATGGTTTAAAGTCCTCATTTTGTTTGCAAATGCATTGTTAATGTTTAGAGGTTATACTAATGTTATTTATTAATTGTTTCCATTCTTGTATGCTGCCCACTAAGAGCTTCTTGTTTGGGATTTCATTCACCTGTGTCAGTAAAAAGAAAACAAAACAAAGTTTTATTTTTAAATAAAATTTCCTTTGTTGTAGCACATGGTCTGTGTTGTGCTGGTTCTGTGAGACCTGGAAAAAGAACATCCAGCTCCAGCCGTCTCAGTCACCTCGCTCAGGGCGCCCAAGTCCGAGGTGCTCAGTCAGTCTCCTGCATCTCTTGCAGTCTGCAACTGACTTTCTACCTATTTTAACTATTACCACAATTATCTGTTACATTCTAATTCATATCGTGGACACTAACAAACAGAGGGCAGGAAAAGTTTATACAAAGTTTATACTAATAAGAAGTCTATTGACAGAGTTAACGTATTCTAATAGACTCGGCTAAGCGAGTCTATAATCCGTCAGGACCTGTTAGAGTCCGGGAATGACGTGAACAGGTTGGTGAGGCCGAGGAACAAGGGAGGCCCTAGGAAGCTGGTGGAGTCTAACGGGTTCTGCAGCGTCTCTGGGGTCTGGTGGAGCCTGAAGCATCAGCCCCCCCTCTGCTGGAGGCTGGGGGCTCCAGTCACCTCTCACAGAGTCTCTTAGTACATTGCTGGAGAGTCTAAAAGACGTCTGATTACTGCATAGCATTTATATAATTGTATACATTACATAATTATAGAATACAATATATATAATATATGAAGGATATATAATAAATCCAAAATTATATAAACAGATCACATGACACGCTTCTAATATCGTGTGGTCTAACGGATGCTCTAGACTCTGTCAGATGCTGTTGAGGGACAACATCGTACCCTGCCGGAGACTGTGAGACTCTGGGGGGCCCGCGCGAGTGCACGGCAGAGGAAGCGCCCCGTGCGACTCTGCCGGACCCTGCCAGCCTTGAGGCGGGTGTCAGATGCTGGTGGGGGCCAGAGAGCCTGCAGCAGCCGGCAGAGTCGGGCAGGCCCTGGGCTCCATTGCACTCCACGACCCCAGAGCCTGGAGGGCCCGTTAAATGCAATAGCCTCAAATGAGGACAAGCTGGCTGGGGGTGACCGTCCCCCCAGGGCATTTGGGGGTCACCTGACGTTAATTGGGGTCAAATAAGGGCACACAGGTCACATGGGGTCAAGTGAACCCCTCAAACAAGTCACATCATGGTCAAACGAAGCCACGGGGGCTAATGCGGTTGAGTGAACCCTTCAAACAACTCACTGTGGGGTCAACTGAGGTTAATTGGGGTCAACCAAGGACACGGGGGTCAACCGAGGTCGCCGGAACCCCTGAAAGTGGTGACCGTGGGGTCAGCTGAGGACACGGGGTCAACCGAGGTTAATTGGGGTCAACCGAGGACACGGGGGTCAACCGAGGTCGCCGGAAC